GGAGCTGTGAACGACTCCAGAACCAGAATTTTATTGGACACTGGTGCGTCCGTGAGCACTATGAGCCTTGATCTAGCGCGTAGACTCAAACTCAAGCTCCGGACACACCGTCAAATCAAAGTTTCAGGTTTAGGAGGAGTGACCACTTACACTACTACTCATGCCCGAGTGAAGATAACTCTCGGATGGAGTGTGGTGTACGTCCTGAATATCTGGGTTGGAAATATTGGAGAAGGTGTTGACGTCCTGCTGGGCATGAACTTTATGCATTCGGCAGGTGTCCGACTCTGCATATGAAGGCTTAGTCAAGCTGCCAGACGAAGAGACAGTGGTTATGTATGATGATAATCCCTTGTCCCGTGGTATGAATCTCCCTGTGTACCCAGAGGAAAGCATACACTTGCGTCCTGGTCAGGACGCTATTGTACGAATCTGGTATGGCCAACCCTCAACGTGAGTTAGTGTGGACTGGGAGAGGCAAACACTGGGTGACCAAAGTCCTGCATTCGGCCAGATCCTGGGCGACCGCCGTCAAGGTAGTTAATATTTCAGACCAGAATGTGTGGATTGATACCAGGACCGCTGTTGCGCGCATTGTGGAGTACGAACAGTTCCCAGGACAGCCTGAATTCGTTCGTCCTGGAAAGGTGCGGTATGAAGAGTGGCAACAGCTAATCCACGAGTATACCGTGTCACGACAGGCAAGGATGCGTGCTGAACGATTGGAGCAGATTCTCAGGGAGAGGGGGCCTCCGTGCACCCAGACTCAGAGATATCAGTGGCCTACAAAGCTCTTAATGCGTCCACAGTCCCAAGCCGCTGAGGTAAGGATGGTGAAGTTGCAGGAAAAACCGAAACCGTTGGATATGACACTCAAGTTGGAAATTCGGCAGTCGTCATGAACACGGTCGCGACGGACCCTGATGAACTTGGGACCCGTCCTGAGCCGGTAGAACAGACCCATCCTGACTTGAGTCTAGAAGTTGAGAACCTGGATCCAGAGAATATGGCTGATGTCGAGGATAATGCTCAGGTCCCTGAACCGTCAGTCACAGACGAGTTGTTCGACACCGGCCCAAAGGCTGCAAGCAGAATATGCTCGGGTGATGCGAGTCTCCGCCGAAGAACTGGATCTAGAGCCTGCTGTGTATCTCAGGGAGGAAGTGATTTGATGGCGCAGTTTCGAGACCAACTTATCATGCTCCCGGAAATTGAGGAACGGACCCCAGAATGTAACATCGACGAAGCTAATGTCGGAGTTCAGGGGGTCACAACTCCAGTGATGAAAGCCAAGATGAGAGGGAACCTGAAATGCCATCGAACTATCTTCCTGGGAGATGGCAACGCAGCTCCGGCCCCAGCTAGAGGCGTAGTATGTGATATCGACGTCGGTGAAGCGAAACCAGTGACTTTACGTGCGAGACCGATTGCCGCACCTTTCTTGGTGAAGGTGTTTGAACTCTTGAAGAAGTTGTTGGAGGCGGAGCTCATTGAGCATTCAGAGTCCGAGTGGTCATCGCCTATTGTGATTGTGCTGACGAAAAACGGCATAGACATTCGGATGTGTATTGACTATCGACTTCTGAATTTGCTCATCAAGCTATCCCGCTATCCCCTACCTTTGATCGATGACCTGCTGATAGACTTCAAATCCGCGATGTGGTTTATGAGTCTCGACATGGCGAGTGGATTCTGGGCGGTGCGAATGGCTGAACGTGCGAAGTTGGTCTCTCCGTTTGTCTGCCATTTTCAATGGCTCATAATTCTTTTGGATTGAAGAATGCACCGTTAGTTTATCAGAGCATCATCAACAACTGTCTGTGGGTATTCGCCCGTCTACCCCCAGAAGAGGAAACGATGGTTGACCCAGAAGTTCTAGAGTTCCTGTATCTCGAGCCTCAAAAAGCCCTGAAAACTGAGGTGGATATGAGGGATTCAGAGAACCCATCGCTGGACATGACTGTATTCCGACGCAATTCCCGGCTCCATCACAAATGGGTCCGGTCTTGGGAAGAAGTTCGTACATTGACGATATCGCTCATGGGGCGTCGACCTGGGACCAACTATGTGA